ATAAAGCGACGTTCACTTGCAGAACGCAAGCTTCTAGAGGCCACATAAGTCTGAAGTAATGAATTTAGGTAAAAGGATGCAGAGCATTTGTAGGCAAACATCAATGCCTTGAATATTATGCGAGCAGCTATTGGTAGCCAGTGCAAATTGATAAAAAGAGGTGTGATGTGCATTCTTTTTGGCTCATTAAAAATTAATCTTGCTGCCGCGTTCTGGATTAATTGTAAAGGTTTGGAGAGAGATAGAGATATGTACAGTTGTGCTCAAAATTATTCATACCCTTGGTAAATATGATCAAAGAAGGCTGTGAAAATAAATCTGCATCGTTTATCCACTTGATCTTTCATTCAAAAAAAAATAAATAATTCTAACCTTTAACTAAAGTAAAAAAGTGGGGGAAAAATCACATTATAAAATAAATATTTTTCTCTAATACAGCAAGAGGACGTGTGTCTATATGCACGGTGAGGAGGAGATGCACGGTGAGGAGGAGAGTTTGAGTGGATCACAGTTGGAGAACTGCAGAAAATAGTTGAGTCTTGGGGTCAGAAAGCCTAAAAAAAAAAACTAAAAAAAAAAAATAAAACAAACTCCAGCATATTTATTTGCTAGACACGAATGGAACTTTAAACGGGACTGCGTTCAATGGTCAGATGAAACTAAAAAAATTAGCTTTTTAGCCGCAAACACGAGAGATAGGTTTGGTGCACACAGGGATAAAAAGAACCCCATGTGTACAATGAAATATACTGCTGGATCTTTAATGTTGTGGGTCTATTTTTCTGCCGGAGATCCTGGATATCTTGTTCAGATAGATGGCATAATGGATTCTATAAAACACCAATAGATAAAAAATTGTAAAACTGACTGTCCATGCTAGAAGTCTTATAATGGGCCATGGTTGGATCTTCCAACAGGACAATGATCCACAAACAAACATCAAAATCAACACAAAAATGGGTCACTGAGAACAAAACCAAGTCCAGTTCCCTGAGCTGAACCCTATAGAAAATGAGTGTGGTGATTTGAACATGCAGCTGTGAATCTGAAGGGTCTGGAGAGATTCTGTATGAAGGAATGGCCTCTGATCTCCTGTCAGATGTTCTCTAAACTCTTCAGGCATTATAGGTGAAGACTCAGAGCTGTTCTCTTGGCAAAAGGAGGTTGCAAAAAGCATTGGATAAAAGGGTATGATTAATTGTGACCCGTGTGTATTAGAGAAAAACATTTATTTCATAATGACATTTCTCTCCCATTTTAAATTCTTATTCTCCAATGAAAAGTTAGATTTTAGTACATTTTTTAAATAAAATATCTAAAGGATTGAACATACAGATTAATTTTCACAGCCTTCATTGATCATATTTACCAAGGGTATGAATAATTTTGAGCACAACTGTACAT